ATTTTTAATACTTCTATTCGTTAATCCATAACTGAATATACAGATCTTGATGATTTTCAACAGTTCTTACATAATAACAGTTTTTTACATAATACTAGCCTTTTCCTGCGCGCGCTACGCGCGCGATTCAGAATTATTGGAGATACACAAACAAATCTGGAAAAGACCAAACTGGTTTGTTAATCCCCCTAAAATTACAACGTAGGTTCTTTCTTTACTTAATTTTTTAAAAAATTTAAGCATTTATACATCCTTAAAATTTTTTTCCGGATTTCTCTAATTTATGAGATTATTATTTGTTTTTTCCTTTTTTTCCGTTAGTTTTAATTAACTGTCTTCATTTTAAATTATTGATTTTCGTATTTTTTATATTTTTTTATTTTTCCCTGCTTCTTGAAATAGTCATGAAGATGATGATTTTCGTCTTCTTTTAATCTTATTCAGTTGTTCTTCGTTTTTTTTGTATGAACTTTTCATTCGTATTTTTTCGAAAAAATCATTAATTTAGTAAAATGAATTCTCAAGCAATCGATACGAACTCGAAAAATAATCACTTGGGGGATGTTACAATCTTTTTTTGTGTATAACTTTTTTTTGGAGGGTGGACAAATGAAAATAACGGATGGACAAACGTGGACAAACAATGGACAAAGGAATGTAATAATGATATTACCAATACTCGCATTTACAGATTCCAACTTTATAGAGCTGCTTTGTGAATTTGGCACCTTAAATGCGAATATTGGTAAAATTATTATTGCATTCGTTTGTCCACTGTTTGTCCACGTTTGTCCATCCCTTATTTTCATTTGTCCACCGTCCAAAAAAAAGTTATGCATTAAAAAAAATTGTAACACCCCCAAATGATTATTTTACATTATTACGAAAAATATAATAAAAATAGGGTGGACAAATGAAAATAATGGGTGGACAATCACGTGCGCGTTGTGGACAAACGATACCCGTACATAATTATGAAAAATTATCACTTGGGGATGTTACAATTTTTTTTTGTGTATAACCTTTTTTTACGGGGTGGACCAAAGAAAATAACGGGTGGACAAACGTGGACTAACAGTGGACAAACGAATGCAATAATGATATTACAATATTCGCATTTAGGGGTGCCAACTTCACAGAGCGCTACGCGCGCGATTCTTTTTTTTTTTGAACGACCATATAATTTTCTCTTACAAAATTCACACCAAAGCATAGTCGATTAAGCTTTAAATTATAATTACATTTCTTTGCGTCTTATTAAATTCGTCATATTTGGAAAATCTTATTGATTTCCGCAACATTTCCGTCTGCCATATTGAATTTAAAAATTTGGAACACGGAATCAAAATCAGCGTTCGCGGTAACCCCCATTTATCTAATTTCGCTGAAATTTTTAAATTTTTATGTATTTCGCAACACTTTCGTCCGCCATTTTGGATTAACCATTTGGAATTTCCTAATTTTGATCACAGATTCGAAATCAGCGTCCGCGTAAGCCCCCTTAATTCAAATTTCGCCGAAATTTTTAAATTTTTATGTATTTCGCAACACTTTCCGTCCGCCATTTTGGATCAGCCATTTGGATTTTCCTAATTTTGATCACGGATTCGAAATCAGCGTCCGCGTAAGCCCCCTTAATCCAAATTTCGCCGAAATCGGAAAACCTTTAAGATTTTCGCATCTTTTCCGTCCGCGATATTGGATAAGTCTTTTTTAATTATCATAATTTTTACCATGTTTTTAAAAGAGCGTCCCCGAAAATTCCTTGTTACCAAAATTCACCATTTTCGGATTACTTTAACTGCCTCAACGAATAGAGGCTTCAAAAAAGCGTGACACGCCAATTTTAAGATATGATGATGATATAATAGTTTCAAATAGTATTGTATAATGATTTGGAATAATTTTATATTTTTCACAATTTTATTTTTCAGTTTTGTTCTACTTAAGTAAGTTAATTATCGTACTGTATTCATGCCAAGTTTAAGTATTGCAATTTTTTATTGTTAAAAATTTCAAAACTTTTAAAGCTATAACAAAAAAGTTTAGTGAGTCCCTACGATTTATACGTTTCTTTAGCATCACAAATGTGTCTCTATTACGGGTTAATGTAGTTTTCTTAAAAATCAATTAGCTAGAATTTCGATTATTCAATATACATATTCTTAATTTTATAAAAAATTTCAGACAACTAACGGTACAAGAATCTATGAAATAAAAATACATTCTAACCGCGAAGTAGGTGAAAGAAATCCTATTTACCTTCTATACCAGATAGCGGAATCTTCGTCGATTAAATTGAATGTTCGTGACATGTTTCGCGCGCCAGCTGCTTGCAATTAATTTATTTTTCCCCGCCCGAGCGTTAATTGTTAAACTTAGATGGGCGGTCGTCGACGATTCCGCAGTTAGACTTCGAGATGGAAAGAAGGGGACAACTAGCTGCTAAGAGGAGAGAAGAGAAGAGACAAGGATGCGACTGGACGTTCAATGTGAACGGGACGACGAAGGAAGACGAAGAAAGAGAGAGATGATCGTACGAAAGACGACGGAGAAAAGTCGAGGAGGGTTGCTGCCTATAGTCCGGCGGCAGACCGAGACGAGAGAATCGAAAAGTTCCGAAGGGAGGCGGGAAGCCAAAGACACGGCGCGACGGGTAGATTGGGTTACTGAGATAATTAGAACGATGAGCGACGCACGCCTTGTTGAACGATTCTTTTTAGCCGGTCGGTGGTTGGTTTCGTGTTTTCTGAAGAAGCGATAAAAGAACGAGAGTGCCGTCGAGGGAAGATACGATCACCGATGCGTGCCATGTCCAGGAATCAAGACCGGAGGGTACGGGCGCGTTTCCTCGTCGATAAGTCTCAACAACGAAGATATTACGGCACCCTAGTGACATATTTTTATGCGCCGCAGCTACGACGTCGTCGTGCGATTGGTCGTTCAAGTCGGCGCCCCCGTGAGATCGCTTGACCGGAAATGTGTTGCCGTCGTAAAAACATCTATGGCACGTTTGTTCGACCGGAATATTCATCGCGATTTCTTCCGTGAGCACAGCGATATTCCTTGGCAATCTTCTCTTCATCGACGGGACTTTTGGAAACGCGCGATCTATACTAGAGATACATATCGCAGCGTTTGTATATAAGCATCTGCTTTTCCTTTCGACCTCGCACAGTTTTCAGATTACGAGTCTCTGCGTGTACGACGTTGCGTTTGACTTTACTCTATTTGCGTTGAGGGACATCTGAATATTTAATCGGCTCTTCAACCAACCCCGCCTCCTTTGCTCCTCCGCAAACCCCGCTTCTCGTCCGCGACTCTCAGTCCCGGTTGCGGTGAATTATTTAATGCTCGCTGGGAGACCAGTTATCTATGCGAACCAACGTGTCAGCGAGATTTTAGTATTCTTTGTTTATTGTCTCTCTGTCACGTACGCTATCAATGACTGTGCAACTCTCTGAGCACTGCTGTGCTATGAACTGCATTAATATGCAGTATAATAATACTTGGAATGGGCCAGACATGTCAGAAATTCAATTTATCCGACACACATTATCAGACACACCGTTGAATGAGTGATTAAATTAGAGTAAATTAAGATAGATAATTACTTGAAGAAACAAAGATTTGAAAAGAATAAAAAATAGAATATCGATTTTATATGTATATGATATAAAACGAATATATCATAAGATTATATTAAAACTATGAAAAATTAACAATAATCATTCTATTTGTGTTTTGTAGATATTTAACCGAAGAGAAAAGTTAAGCTTAATTCTGTCAGTGCGTATTTTTATCTCATTCGTACATAGAAATGCTGAAATATTCTGGTTCAAATAAGCCGAAGACGAGGTGGAAAGATATTTGCAGGAGTTTCCCAGTTCCCCTTGTTGAAACCAAATCAATAAATGCACAGAGCGATTGTTCGACAAATAGAGGTCGGGAGTAAATAATGTGCAAACACAATTTCTGCTATGTATTGAAAAAGACGTAGTCCTCATGTACATTTTACTCACGTTTGATGAGAAAATCCAAATGTGATATTCATATGATAGGGAAAAGATTATTGGATAAATTAATTTTTTTTAGACACATATTTAAATATAATATATACTGCATTTGTGTTTATAACATAAACTATAAAGTGTTGCTTAGTTTGAATATATATATATATATATATATATATATAAAATTTGTAATAGTTCTTCGACT